CTGGCGGTTCAAACCCACCAGCCACTCCTCGGAAGGAAGGTTGGGCAATCCTACTTCCGTAGTGATACTGCCTCGGAAACCCAAGGAGGGGTCGCTATGAGTCGGGGCCGACTCGACGGCACATAACAACAACAACCTGAAACTCAGTATTCCTTGAGGAATACATCCTCACTTCCTTCCCGCCTACCCCTGGTAGCCTCTAATAAACTTTGTCTCTATATTTGCGTATTCCAGGTATTTTACTAAGTGCACTCATAGAGTATTGTCCTTTTGTTTCTGACATTCGAGTCAGCATAACGTTTTCAAGATTCATACACGTCCCAGCATGTGTTGGAACTTCATTTCTCCGTATAGCTGAATAATACTCCATTGTATGTATATACCACATTTTGTTCCTCTGTTCAGTGACTGATGCATGCTTGGGTTGTTTGCACCTGTTGGCTGTTGTGAATAATGCTGTAATGAACATTGGTGTAGAAGTATCTATTTGAGTCCCTGCTTTCAATTCTTTTGAATACGTACCTAGGAGTAGAATTTTGTGGCCTCTTATGGCAATTCTATGTTTAAGTTTTTGAGGAATCACAAAACAGTTTTCCACAGTGGCTGTACCATTTACAATGCTACCATCAATGCATGAGGGTTCTAATTTTCAATCCTTACCAACACTTGCTGTTTTCCATTTTTCTGATCGTAGCCATCCTAGTGGCAGTGAAGTGGTATCTCACTTTGTGATCTTACTTGTGACCTCAAAATCTCATTTGTGATTTTGATTTGGATTCCCCTAATGACTAGTAATGTTGACCATCTTTTCACCATTTGTCGCCCATTTGTGTATCTTCTTTAGTGAAATGTCTGAAGTCTTTTGTCCATTTTTTGATTGAGTTGTTGAATTGTGGAAGTTCTGTATATATTCTAGATATTAAACCCTTCTCAGATACATAGTTCTCAATAATTTTATCCCATTCTGTGGATAGTTTCTTCATTTTGTTAATAAAATTCTTTGATGAAGAAAAGTTTTTAATTTTTATGAAGTCCCATTTATCTGTTTTGTCTTTTGTTGCTTGTGTTTTTGGTATGATATCTAAGAATCTATTTCTGAAATTAAGTCCTGAAGCATAACTTTCATGTTCCCCCCCCCCCAAAGGTTTTTATGGTTTTAGTTCTTACATGTTGGTCATTGATCTATTTTGAGTTAATATTTGTATAGGTTATGGAGTATAGGTCCAACTTTGGGAGCTCTGGTAGTGTAGTGCCTAAGGCACTTGACTGCTAATCAGAAGGCCAACAGTTCAAACCCACCAGCCACTCCTCGGAAAGAAGATGGGGCAATCTACTTCCGTAGTGATACTGCCTCAGAAACCCAAGGAGGGGT